TCTTATATATTTACTTACCATATATGCCACATGTCATAATTAGTTCTCTTTTTCTTGTAGGACAAGGAATAGGTGGCAAGGACTATGAAAGGATGAGTTATTCATAAAAGAAGAGTTCTGGACGTTCATGAGAAGATCTAAGGAGAATTTGGAAAGATTCACCACAAGATCTTTGAAAATTTGGAAGATCGGCTATTTTTGGAAAGTCATGTTCTTACCCGATTCTGGGAACCAAGATTTCTATTGGAAGCTCAATTCACATACACGAATTCCACATCAAGGAAACTGACTTTACATGAAGGATTTCGTCCAAATCATAAAACAATCAATTGAGAAGGAAATTGACTCCTAAAAGGAAAAGGAAGAACTTGTGAAGACTCCTTACCTTAAGGAGATTGTATATAAGCCTACTCAAATAATCAATTGAAGACAAGAGAGCTGTTGCAAATCGAGTTCATCATTCATCAGCTTCAACTGAGTGTTTGAGAGTATTCTTTTATTTTTATTTTTATACGGTCCAGTTTTTCAACGTTCTTACATTGCTAAAGAACTGAATTCGTTTTGTTTCTTTTCATTTGCAAATACTTTATTTTTAGTGCTTAGGGATTAAGTACTGGGTTTGCTCGAGAGATTCGAGAGATAGAAGTCCACGGGATGTGGCCGGAGAATTAATTGATAGGATCGTGTGTAGTTGTGGCTAGACTAGAAGGGAGTTCGAGTCGTGTAAGTCAAAACTACACAAGTGTGAACGGTTTATCAATGAAAGAGCTCTGAGGGCAAGTGGACACTTCCCTGAAGAGTTTTTTACATCTTCGGTTTATTGCTTCCGCTATTTACGTTGTTTATCCACGTTTTTACATCGTTTTGCGCACTCGTTCGTAAATATATACATTTTAGGTTGTCCTATTCAGCCAGGGGTTGTGTAATTTGTGCCTTTGTGCGTTTTGTATTGATAAAATTCTCTATAATTTTGGAAAAAAAATATTTGCATGGATAGGCGGTGTACAAAAGAGAGTCCATGGATTGTAATACTCGCATGGATCAAGAAAATTTGGGTATATGCTTGGATATAGGATTTTTTTTTAGTTAATTTTGAAAAATGTGGTATAGTTAGTTGTTAGTGGAATTTTAAAGTTATATTAAAATAATATTTCAAATAAAATAGTTAAAATTGATATAATGTAAAAGTTGGAAAGATGTCATATGGAGTGATGATTAGTTAAAATTATATGGATGAATGAATAATAAATTAAATTTGATGCAGGGGCGAAACCAAAAAATTAGTTAGGGGGGGGGGAGGGGGCAA